GAGGCACCGACGATTCAAACATTTCGGTTTATCAATTTTTTCGTCGATTTCATTGAAACTTCGATGTTTTGCAATTTAGGAGTAGACAGAGAGCAATTTCATTTGACTGCAGCGTGAAAGAATTGTTTAATTTGTGGTTTAACGTCTTTGAGAAATTGAATCTATGTAGAATCTTGAATTGCGGTAAGAAAACAATCTATGCAAATCAGAGGGAATGAAATGTTCAAGCGTTAATGTTTATTAATTTTGCAAAGGTTTCATTGAAATTTCTACATTTTGCAGTTCAAACGTAGACGTGAAATATTAAGCGAAAATATCGAAGAAAATTGTTTAATTTGTGATTTAATATCTTGGATAAATTGAGCCTATAAAATGTTTATTTTCAACAAAAATAATCTATGCAAATCAGAGGGAATGAAATATTCGAACGTTCACGATTTCATGAAAAGTTTGATATTTTGCAATTTGAAATATTAAATTTTTGATTAAAATTTCTTTTGACTGCAGCATAAAAGAATTATTCAGTTTCTAATATATCTTTTGTGATTCAATATCTTCAATAAACGAGCACGCTATAGAATTTTAATTTACAATAAAAAATGATCTATGCAAATCAGAAGGGACGTAATATTCGAAATAATATTCTTTTCAATGTAATATCCTCTCTCACCCTAAATAGTATCTTTCAAAGAAAGGAAATGGAAAAAGTAGAATTTTTTGATCGTCGGTGTGCGGGCCAAGAGAGCACGTTTCGAAACGACGACGTTTTTTTTTTACCTGGACGCGTGTATAACGTAGTCCGGTAAATGTGCCAAAGAGAAAAACAGAAAAAACACAAAGAACAGCAGAAGAAGGAAAAGAAACAGAAGAAGAAGAGGAAGAGGAAGGAGAAAAAGAAGAGGAGGAAGAAGAAAAAGAAGAAGAAGAAGAGGAAGAAGAAAATGGAAAAGAAGAAGAGGAAGAAACAAACGTTAATCCTGCAATTCGAGCGCAGGAAAACTTGTAGATACAAAAGATATGGAAACTATCGCGAGTCGACTAACAAAAACGAAGAAGGAAACTACAAAAAGAAGAAGAAAAAGGAGAAGTTCGTGTTTCGTTGCTGGATGTGCACACTCGAGTTGTTTTCTTCGTTGTTGTTTCGTAGAGCATGGATGCAGTTGCACCGCTGTCACGAGCAAAGCCACAGAATAATGAATGAAACTGAAGAGAAACGGGCGAACAAGAGAAATGGAAAAGCAAGCTTTCCGGCCAAAAGCGACCAGACAAACAAAACTACAAAAAAAAAAAAATAAATAAAATAAAAGAATACCTCGTGTGCTAATATTTCTTCCTGTTTTCAAAACGAATTTTTCTAAAGGATACGTCGACGTCCCAATAATAGAAGCATTAAAACAGAGCTTGAAGAGAAGAAGAAGAAAGATGGGAGAGAAAATGAGGAGTAAGTTGAGAAATGGTCATCGAAATGTGGGACGCCAGAAAATAGAGTGGGAAGATGATATTTTTGTAAAAGCCTTCGAAGATCTCAGCTGACATATCCGACAATGCCTTACCGCTTACGAAGAAACGAGAACGAGAGAAAGGGGATAAGAAGAAGATGGAG